CACGATGGCACGGATGAAGAAAAGGGGTGCATGAGAAAAGGGATAAAACCCGAAGCACAGTGTTGGCGAGGAAGTAAAATCTGATGAGCAGGTTAAGTTTCTCGTCTTGCCGACCACTAGCGGGCTATGTGTATCAGTGCGTAGTATTCTGGAGGAAGAATGCAATTACTTGCGTGTTCTCCGGAACACCGAGACGCACAGTATATGCGGTGGAAACTAACTGAAGACATGTAGCACTAAACGAGCGGACCTGGCGCAATTATGTAAGGCGGATGAGTAAATTATTAAGTCTCAACGTTATTTCCCTTGGCGACCACGATAAATCTAGCAAAGTAATTTAATCCAAAACCCAATCGTACGTATGTTAGAACAAATCATCAAGACTCAAATTATCCCTCTCCCTCTACGTTTATAAATTTGTGAATCTCGAACATCTACTATGATATGAGTATAACTTTCGGGCCATATGCTAAAGTAGCTATGGAGGTTTGATTTCAGCATTACTTTCTTAGCTTCACTTTCGGAACTGCAACTGACAGCATGGGTAAGCGGCATAAAATTCATTCTTATCCTTTGAAAAAACTGTCATTAATTTGTACACAAAACACAACACGAACAAAGTACACACATACATACAAGAGAAACACGCAAATATATGCGCAAGTACATAAATATGGTTCACATAAAGCTGCTCAAGAACAAAAAAAGAACGAATTACAAATTTGTGTTTGGAAATAAGCAAAACAAAAAGTTGTTGTTGTGCCTCACCACACTTCCGCTAATTCCTCCCTTCGTGTTTACAAAACATGGGCGCGTATAGCTGCCCCAAATGCATGCGCTTTCCACAGCATTTTCTCGGCCATACTTGTAACAGCATCTGTGCTGCACGCAGTAGAAAAAAGAACTTGCATAACTCTCTTAAAAAACGAACGTATGAGCGAGTGAAATTAATCGCATGTGCATCTTAACGAGGCAACGACAGTGCCGTCTAGAAGCGACGCTCACTGGTGCCAGCTCATTAAAGTGTTGCATACCGAACGTGGCTTACCGTAATCATCGTCGCATTCTTTAAACATTGCCAAGTTCGTGTTGTTGGAGCTCACAAATGTGCATAAATCGCACATTTCCACCTTATCATTAACGAGCCTGCCAGTAATTGGCAGATTTGTTGATGTATTTTTAAGCTGTCGCTCAATCTGGTCCAGTGCGCGTCGTTTTGTATTCAATGCGCACAAGCTACACCTGAAATGCACATGTTTAGGAAGGGTTTTTTCAAATCTAAATTATGTATCGGGTCGCCAGACAAACGCTTCCACTGTTGCACTTGGTTACACAATATATCGAACACAAAAACCGTCAATCAGCAGGCTGACCAAAACTGACCTCTCACAACACAGCGCAAATTTTTTGTTTTTTTAGACAGACCTTTAAAATAGTGATCA